TGCGGGCCCTGCTCACACCGCCCCCGGGCTGCCTCCGCCCGCCCCGGCCGCGGGCAGCGAGAGGCGGCGGGGAGAGGTAACTGCGCCCCGGGGGATACTGCCAGGGGTAGGGGAGGAGGAATGGGAGGGAGCCGGGGTAGGGGTGCTCCAGGAGCTATAAAAATGCAGGACCCCCCCGCTCCTCCCCCCGGTGCTGCGCCGCCAGCCCTGCTCCCCCCGCGTCCCGCAGTGTGATGGGGATCTGCCCCTCGCTGGGCAGCTTGGACTGGGACAGCCGCGGGACACCCCCAGACTACACCGAGCAAGCACTTCAAAGGCATCAGCCAAGGACAGACCCCACCGCAGCCCTCCATCACCCCCAGAGCCAGGGGGGCTCCTTCCCCATCCCTCGAACCCCAGGACTGGGGTGTTCAATCCCTGCAGGGTCCTCCCTTTCTGTGCCTGTCCCGTCCCTCCCCCTCAGCTGTGCATGTCTTATTCAGCCTCTCCGTTACCAATAAAACGTCCCCCCCTCCTGCTTTAAATGACAGGGTTGGGAACTGGAAAGAGCAGCAAAATTTGCCTACAAGGCAGAGACAAAGGGGTCTGGCTGCCAGCTCCTCGCAGAGCTGCACTTAACCTCTTCCCCGGTGGGACACAGCCTCCAGACGCCGGGAGCCGAGCAAGCACCGTCCCCTTTGCAAGGCAGGAGGGAGGGGAGTAAGGAGTTAGCTCAGAAATATTTCACTCCAAAGACTTCCAGCAGCCAGGGACCCCACACTCCCTTGCTGAGAAAAAGCACTTGAGAAGCTGGTTTTTTCCATGACATGGAAAAATACGGAGATGGGGGCTTGGTTTGTGGTCTGAGAGCCTGCTGAAAATCCCAACAGCTTGATGGTTTAGGGGAAAGCTGGTTGGGAAAGAGCTGTGGTTGCTCTGTTTCTCTTAATTCCAGTCTCAGCAGGGTGAACTCTGAACCCCATGGAAACAGCATCTTGGGGGTTGTATTTCATCAAAGATCAGGAAAAGATGTCTTCTAGTGGGGGTAGGAAAGGGTTTAGGGGGAAGTTCCCCCCTCACGCAGCAGTTGAAGGCTCTGCTCTTGGTGAGGAAATGCCTTCTGATAAGGGAATATTTCAAACAGTCTTTTCCAGCCAGAGTTCTGGGGATAATCACATGGATGCTTTGTTCTTATGTGCTTCCTCTTATTATTTGGCAAGAAAAAGCAGATCCCCTTTTCAGCTAGACCCATCCCGTTCATTGCCCCATCTCTGTTCCCAGGAGGAAGGATGAGGCCCCTGCTCTGCTGCCTGGTCCTGGCTGCACTCCTGGGGCCCTGCCTGGCCTGTCCCAGCCCCTGCTCCTGCTCCACCAAGAAAAACGGGCGGCTGTTGGCCGAGTGTGCCTACAGGGATCTCCAGGAGGTACCCAAGGGGTTGTCCTCCAACGTGACCATCCTCACCCTGTCGGCCAACAGGATCAGCTGGTTGGGGCAGGGCTCCTTTGCCGAGGTTCCTGAAGTGCAGTCACTGTGGTTGGGCTACAACCAGATCGGGGTGGTGGAACCAGGGGCTTTTGCCTTGTTGGTGCATCTGAAGAATCTGGACCTGAGCCACAACAAGATCGCAGATTTCCCGTGGCAGGACCTCCGCAACCTCAGCGGCCTGCAGATCCTGAAGATGAACAACAACCGCCTGGCCGGGCTGTCCCGGGATGCCTTCCATTCCCTGAAGGACCTGCGCTCCCTCTGGCTCAATGACAACGAGTTGACCACCTTGGCTGAGGGCACCTTTGACAACCTGCCCTCCCTGTCCCAGCTGCAGATCTTCAACAACCCCTTCAACTGCTCCTGCAAGGTCTTCTGGCTGAAGAAATGGACCGAGCGCACCTCGGTCTCCATCACCAAGGGGGGGTCCACCCTGTGCGTGGCTCCCGCCAGGCTGAAGGGCAGGGCAGTGACAGACATCCCCGACCACCACTGCGTGGCCCCCTCGGTGCAGCTCACCTACCTCTCCAACCTGGACAACACGGTCATGTACGACGGGCTGACGCTGACCCTGCACTGCAGCGTGGCCGGCAGCCCCCCGCCGGAGATCCGCTGGAAGATCCAGACCTCCAGCCGCCGCATCGAGATCAACGGGCCCAACGTGGCGCGGGATGGAAACGTCAAGCAGAGCCAAGAGCACTTCCTGGTCTTCAAGAACGGCACCATGGCCATCCCCAACTTCAGCAAGGAAGACGAAGGCACCTACACCTGTCTCGCTGTCAACGACGTGGGCACGCGGGATGTCTCGGTCAACGTGGCGCTGGCTGGGTCGGAGAATCCAGCTGAAGACCTGCTCCGAGATGACCCCCATGCCGGCCACCTCGGGGGGCGGAGCTGCTACAAGGGGGACGAAATGGATCCCTCGGGCATTGGAGAAAAGCTGGTGATCGTTTATCACATGCCGAGGGAGTCGAAGAGTGGGGCTGGAGGGGCCCTGCCCCAGGTCCACCTGGGGACCCTCCTGCTGGCTTTGGGCTTCGTGCTCTGCTGTTAAATGGGGGAGGAGGAAACGGTGCCTCGGGGGTTCCCCCTCTTTCTGTAGCATTTATTTTCACGTAGTGTCGTGCCTTTGCTGAGCTTCTGGGAACTGTGGGCGGTCAGGAGTCAAAGGGGGCCAAGATCCAGGCCCAGGGCTGGTAGTTCAACCCCTCCTTAGGTGGGGGTCAGGGCTGGGCTCTGTTAGTTGAAGGTTTCAAATGAGTTTGGGTGATGTCAAGCAGACCCACACCCTGCTGCCACTTTCCAGGTGTCCAAATCTGACACCTCCCCCTTATCTCCCTTCTGAGATCAAAGTGTAGCTGCAGGATTAAAGTCCACCCTCAACAAGGTGACCATCATCTGTCCCCAGAGCCCACCAGGAGCCCACCTCCACCTGCAGCATCCAGCTGTGTCCAGAGAGGGGATCCAAGGATAACACCCATGACCAGCAGCTGGGCCCTTGGCCAGCCAGGTGCATCCTTCCCACCACCAACATTACCTGAAGTAGAAGGACCAGTCTGAGAATGGAGAAAGAGCCAGGGAATGGGGTCCTGGGATGCCAGGTGACGTGGCTCTGAGGGACAGAGATGTGATGGTGCCTTGTAGGCAGAATGGGTACAGCAGAACATGTTGGGTGGAGCCATGGGCTTGGATCAGGCCATTTTTCAGAGCAGGAGAAGATTTGCCACAGGATTCATCCCTGTAGGAGCACAAAGGGCTCCAGCTGGCTGGGTGCTGGGAGCATCTAAAATGCCTGTGCCTTCCCCGAATGTCACAGGATTTCCAACTCCCTCCCCTTTCACTGCTGAGATCTGTGGTCCAAAAAAACTCGTCTGGGCTGGACCCACCGAGTTGCCCTGCTTCAGCTCCGGCCCCGGCAGGGAGGGACTGAGCTCAAAGAGACCCAAATAATTCCCCAGCACTCTTCCTTGACAGGATACTAAACAGGGGCTGCATGGTGGAGTGGGAGGAAAAAAGGTTGGGAAAACCCAGACTACAGAGAGAGAAGCTGAGCTGACCTATAAGCCATAAACACACTCCTTAAGTGCTTTAGCGTTCCCATGTGGGACATATATACCTTATCCAGCTGTCCCAGGGTGCTGGGGAACCCTTTGTCTCCTGGTGGAGGGATTGAGCACCTCTATCTCCCCCACCTCAAGGTACAGGTGGTCCAGCTTTTGTACCATCTGTGGGAGCTGGATGGACCCCTGCAGCCCCCTCACCTTATAACCAAACCTGTATGGACAGCAATAAATACCTTTTTTTTTAAAACAAGCTGGTACATGCTGCCTCTGTGCACCCCCAAATCCCCCAGACCGAACAGCACCTGGGCTGTCAGAGCTCATCACCAACCCTCTTTGATCAAGGGACACCTCCTTTCCCCCACAGTTCCTCCAAATTCCTCCCCGAGCTGTAACATCCCCCCAGCTCCCCCAAACCCCTTTCATCCCACAGCATCCCCATAGCTCCCTCAAACCCTACCTGTGCATATCATCTCCCATTTCCCTGTGCTGCAGCATTCCCCCAACTCCCCCCAAAATCTCCCCACCCCATAGCATGCTCCCAGCTCCCCTCAGGGTCCTCCTTGTCCCATGGTATCCCCCAGCTCCCCCAAAGTCCTCCCCTTGCCGTTGCATCCCCCCCTAAACCCTCCCTGCGCTGTAGCATCCCCCACCCAGGTCCCCCTGCAGTGTAGTATCCCCCACAGCTCCCCCAGATCCCTCCCTGCACCGTATCATCCCCCCACCATGATTCTGGAGGGAGGAGGCATTTTTGAACACCCCAAAATCCCCCCATCCGTGTCTGCAGCAAGCTGGGGAAGGCAGCAACACCCAAATCAGCTGGGAACCAGCTATCCCAGAGACTCAAGCCTTCACACAAGCTCTCCAGCCCCAAAATTCCTTATCCAGACAGCTCATAAGGGTAAGGAAAGAGGCAGTCAAGGAGCTGCCAACAGAGCCGAGCTCTGTACGGCGCCGAGGTCTCCGTGGGAGTCCTGAGGCAGAAACATCCCAGACTCAGCCAGGAGCTCCTCGCACGAAGGGATACTGACAGGCAGGAACATGTTTTTCCCATTACAGGATGAAAAGCAATGTGGCCCCAATGAGAGTTTTGGTTTCGTTTCATAGGCTACAACTTTTAAACTCAGTTTGACATCAGTCTGACATCAGCCGACATCCTCCCTTCCCAGCTTAGAAGAGTGGGGTACGGGAGTTTATTCCTGCAGTCTCAGCTGGGAACAGGGTTTGGGGCCTGGCATAAGGATAAAAAAGCAAGTTTAGGCTCTCAGAAGTCCTAAGCCACGCCTGGAGGTCTCTGCCTGTCTCGCAGAGCTGCAGCTCCCACCAGCTTTGCTGTTCTGCCACTAAAAAAAGGGAATTCCTCCTCCTTGGCCAGGTTTACTCATAGATTTCATGGCAAATTGTTAGTGATATCAAGCATCAGTCATTCCTAACAAACAGGGTCCCTTGCCATGGCACTCCTGGGTTGGATGCTGCAGGTGATACCACACCTGGTATCACTATCTGGACCCACCACGGGATAACACGACCCTCCATCCCTCCCATTTACAAAGCCAGACCTGAATTTCCATTCCCCACACAGACAGGTTTTCCTTAAGGGCCATTTGCAGCTGGATCAGCTCCCTGAACCACCTCACCATCTGCTCAGGGGTTGGGTGGAGAGGGATGTGGATGCACAGGGGCAGAGCTTCCCCACAGCCGTGGCAGTGTTGGGGGTTTAGAGATGAGGTGTGAAGCCACCACGAAGAAGAAAATCTCAGTCCTCCCCCAGGGCACTGTTTATGTCCAAGAAAACAAGTAAATCCATGTAGCCACCTCCTGTCTTCCTCCCAGGGCTGTCATCTCTCACCAGGGCCCCAGCCAAGACATCCCCAGGACGCCTGGGGCAGGGCTGTGTAAACAGATGCTGAAATCCAGCTCCACCCATGGCCCTGAGCTGCCAAAGATTTTAGGGATTACCAAGGTTGACTTCAGTGCCTGGGAGGCTGGAGGTGGGTTGGGATGGGCTGCAAGGGAAAGGTGCTTCAGGGACACCCAGGACACCCAGCACCCCTCTCTCCCGTGCTGTGCCGTGCAAACCAGGCACGCACACCTCAAATCCCAGAGCTGGGAACGTGGCAGGAATCGCACCTTGGGCTCCTGCTGTCTTAGAAAGAAACCAGCCCAGACCTGCCTCCGGTGGCACCGCTGTCACCCCGTTCGGTGACATTGTGCTCGTGCCAGACAGTGATCAAATGCAATTACTTTAATCACGTTTGATTGGTGGGCAGCGGATGCGACAGCATTTCCAGCATCCAAGCACACCGGGTGGCACCTGCAGGCAGCAGATGAAGGCAGAGACCCCCCCTGTCTTCCCTGGGACAGAAAGGAATGGGGGTCAGATGCTGTGGAAAAGGGTGGCTCCCACCCCGGTGTTGTGGGGAGATCTCAGGACCCTCCAGGCAAACCCCAAAGCACAGGGCTCAACCTCAGTCCCCCCAAACCACACTGAGGTGCTGCAAACATCCCAGCAAGAGGGAGGAGGGTCCTTGGAAACCTCCTTCCAAGCAGATCCCTGGGGCAAGGGGATGGTTCAGCAGCCCTGCTCAGTGCAGGGTGGGCTGCAAAGGCTGCTTTAGCAAGGCTGAGGTGTTTGTGATGGTGTTGAGAGGGAAGGAGTCACCAGGAGAACTTACCAAGAGTTCTGCTTGCTGCTGCCACAGGCATCCTTCCAGCCCATAAAGGCAGGATTTCAAGGATTTAACTGTAGAAAAAGGTGACATAGCAACACCTTGCACATCTCCCTTTGGTGCTTTACCCACAAACTGCCCTGTTTCAGTTCCCACCCTTCATGGGAGCTGTAGTTTAGGGGCCAAATGTTATGAAGGGAGAGCAAAGTGACCAGTTTTGCATTAAAATTGCCCTAAAGTGGGATCACAGATTTGATCCCATCACCTCCTGGTTAAGCAGATCCAAGAGACCAAGGACACCCCGAGTGTAGGAATGAGGTATGTGATTTATTAACCTTCCCCGACTCGGCACATCCAAGCGAGGTATGAAACTGGTTCCTACGGATTCAAGCTCGTCTCGCTCGGAGGGACACCCGCCCTGGGAGCTGCTGGCTTTAAACAGAACGGGGTGGCAACAAGAGGCACTGGGGGGGTGAGAGGACAGAGGTGGACAGAAAACAAACAGCTCTGCAGCCTCACAGCCCAGAACAGGGGCACATGGGATTTTATCCTTCACAGAACTGGGAAAAAAAGCAAGTCCCAGGGTTAGGTGCAGTGCCCAAAGGGAGCCAGGATCAGAAAGGGAGAAGCTGGGGATGGGGCTGGCAGTGGGGATCACGTTGAGATGCAGGTAATTCCTTGTGCTCAGGATGGTTAAGGATCCCTCCACACACCCTCTCCCTCCTTCCTTATGCCCTGGCACTGGGGGGTTTGCCTGCCTTGCCACGTGTCGGAAAGGCAGCTGTTGAGAACGGGAGGGCTCATTGCAGGAGTGACTCCTAAAATATCTCTGAGATGCCAGAAGAGTTTAGCTTGGCTCATCTCCTTCCAGGTCAGGCTTGGAGGTGACCCAGTTGTCTCCACCTCTGGGCCTTGGGAGTGGCTCAGCACGGACCTAGAGATAAAAACCAGCCCCCAACACCGCTGGAAAGGGTCCGGAGGCTGGAGAGGGGCAAGAGGTGCCCAAAACTCCTGTC